AAAATATAATAATAATAATCCTTGCATTTGATATAGCGCTTTTCAAGTCTTCTCGACGTCTCAAAGCGCTTCACAGAATATACTGTGAAGTGAATTTGTGGGCGAACGCGGCAGCCAATTGCGCACAGCAATGTCCCACAAAGAGTCATGGATTAAAAATGACCAATTTATTATTGTTTGTTTTGGAGGGATTATTATTAGGTGTGTGGAGTAAGGAAACTTGCCCAAGGTTTCGCCCTCTGCCTGGAATTGAACCCGGGTATCTCGCTGTACTGTAGAGTGCAGTGACTGTTTAAGCCGTGGATGAAACGCGGCAGCCAATTGCACACAGCAGTGTCCCACAAACAGTCGTGGATTGAGTGACCACATTTTTCTTTATTTTGATCTTACACTTCCACTCTCTTCCCCAATCTTCCCAGCCAGTTTCCGAGAATCCTTTTATGCTTTTGCTTCTCGTTGTCAATATCCAATTGCCAATTAAGTCATTAAAGCAATATGCTAAATTTTTAACCCCGGAAAGCGATCCACCAATCGATAACAACCGGGTTCCTACTTATTGCTGGTAAACAGAGGCGTGTGTGTGTGTGTGTAGAGTAAGGAAAGTTGCCTAAGTTTTCGCCCTGACCTGCCCGGGATTGGAACCCGGGTCCTCTCGCATGCGAGGCGAGCGCTCTAACCACTGAGCTATAGGACTCTAATGCTTCATGCTGGGATCGGGATTTAAGAGATTACGCTTAGCTCAAGATTGCTACACAGTGCTGGTGGCGTGTATATCTGAAACGGATGCCTGACTCAGAATTTATTTATTTATTGTGATAGGATTAACCCTATCAATTCTCTTTTTGACAGAAAGTTCCAGGGCACAAAATTCCACCTGCTTTTATTATGAAGAATAATCCTCATACTAATAATCATTTGTTACAGCGGTTGCAATTGAAGGGGACGTAAATTCAGAACAAGTCCTCGGACACACTACTTCAGAGAGTGAGTAGTAAACTTATGGAACAGGCTCCCTGGGGAGACAGACGGTGGAAGTAGAAAATGTCATTTGCTTCAAGAAAAAAATTAGATCAGTTTCTGCTAGAAAATAATATCTCAGGATACAGTATATAGTTTGGGGACACGACATGTAAAAGCGCCAGGATGGTGGAAGGCGAACTCGATGGACCTTGGTCTTCTTTCACTGAGAAATTCTTATGTTCTTATGTTCTTCAAAGTGCTTCACAGGATATATTGTAAAGTGCAGTGACGGTGTGTTTCATAGGTGAAATGCGTCCGACAGTTTGTCATAGCGACGTCCCCAAAAACGGGCAAGAAATGAGCCAATAATTTCATCATGAAGCGCTTTGAGACGTCTCAATGACGTGATAAGGCGCTATATCAAACACAAGGATTATTATTACTAAACATAGCTCGCTTTACGATGGATGGTGCGTCAGAGCCCGATACAAGCTCTCCCACACTGCCAACACTTTGCTAGACGGTTAGACGGACACTGGGATGTGAGCTGGAGCTTATGAAACAGTGTGAAGCCTTGAGAGGTGCTAATGAGACTCGTTTAGATGCCTCCAGTCTCGACAAGGAGGGTTTTACGGCCTTCACATTCCACAATATAATGGCCAGCCAAACACGGAGTCTCGCAAAACACCTCCTGAATAGGGTACCTGAGTCTCAGTCAGTCTGTCTGGTAATTTTCTCTCTGGGCCCAGGCACACACAGCACACAAGCACGCACACACCCGGCCCCCTCCCTCTCTATTTCAGTAGTCGGTTCTGTTACTCCCCCACCCTCTCAAAGCAACCATTAAATACCACAGGGAAGGATTTACATAAGGAATGCAAACAAGTTTGCAATCATGCGCTCGACAGCCGTGCTTATTTGTGAACACAGCCTCATGCTATTTCCCCCTCAATCATCCACTTCCCCCCCTGTTTAGTTCTTTCTGTTTAGGAGGAGTTGGGTTTGAGCCTGGCACGCCGCGACTTGGAATCACATCGTCTAAGCTGACGCTCCAGCACAGTGCTGGAGGAGAGAGAGGGGGAAAGAGAGCGCTGCGTTGTTGGAGACAGTGTCCTTCGTTTCAGACATAAAATCTCACTCACTGTGCCCTGTTCAGGTGGACGTTACAGATTTCCCTCAGCGCTATGCGAAAAGGGAAGGGAGTTTGTCTCTCTCTCCTGGTGTCCTGGCCGACAATCACCCGAACGAAAGAATGGTCAGTCAACCCACCACTGTTTGGAAAGCTGCTGTGCACAATTGGCTGCTGCGTTTCGCCCAGAAACTGCACAGTCAATTCAATATACAGTATTTCCAGTGAAGAGCTTTGAGATGCCTCAACGATGTGATGTGGCACTGTACCAAGTACAGGGATTATTCTTATTGTCGTAAGAGCTTTAGGGCGTCCTCCTGACGTGGTAAGGCTGTATCAAATGCAAAGATTAATCATTATTTTATTATTAAAGGCATATGAGAGAGAAACAAGAGAGAGGGAGAGAGAGCATCTCTCTTGGATGTACAGGTTGGTGGGGAGGGTGGGGAAGGGGGAGAAGACGGGAGAGAATAGAAAATAACTGCACAGTGAGCGTGCAAATGACTAAGTGGTTTGTCCCACGAGCGATATTTCTCAGCAATCTCAGGGGATTAGTGAGGATTTTAGTTCACCGCAAACAAACCTAATTACACAACAGAATTATTAGTGGTTGGCAGCCTCTGGCAGGGGGGAGAGGAGGGATAAAAGGGACATCAAAGTGATGCATATAGTCAACAGGCCACTGTGTTTGCTGGCACAGAACAGGGTGTCCATAAATTCCTGTTACCCTCTGTCACAAAACAGTGACATGAGACTTACGGAGGAGTTGAAACACTGTTCCTCTGGACAACAACAGCTTGTAGTTACACAACGCCCCTCATGCAGGGTAGCGTCTCAGAGCGCTTGACAGTACGATGCTGAGCTGGGGGGTGGGAGGGAGGAGATGACCGTAAACACAGTCGAAGAGGAAAGTATTCACGCGTGACCCGAAGATGGGGAAAGAGGGAGTGAGGCGGAGTGATTGAGGGAGGGACTGACAGAATTTTGGGGCATAGTGGCTAAACGTGCGGCCACCGATGGTGGAATGGAGGGCACGAGGGACAAGCAGGAGGCCGGAGCCAGTCGAGCGGAGGTGGGAGAGAATATATATGTGGACCTATTTGTAGTGGGTAGAGGAGTAAGCAGGTCGAAGAGGTAGGAAGGTGCCAGGATACGGAGGGTTTTGAAGACGAGTGTGTGGACATCTAAATACAGTTAAAATACAATTATCATCATTCTGCCACATGTTTCAGTTGTTGGTCAGGACAGAAAGTTGCCTAAGGTTTTGCCCTGACCCGCACGGGAATGAACCAGGGTCCTCTCACTCGCGAGGCGAGTGCTCTAACCACTACGCTAAGGGACTCCACAAGCCAGTGAAGGGGTCGGGAAAGCAAAGTGCCAGCAGGCTAGCTCTCACCAGCTGCTTAATAACTGCCACATCTTTTGTGGGTGGCTAGCAGGATAAATAGTGACTCATGAGAGAGCTGTCTGATGTCTGGATCTCTCCCTCAATCCCTTCGCCTTGCTCCCAGCTACTTTGGTAGCCCAGACTGCTTTCCCATCACAGACAGGTTACGTAAGAAGATGATCGAAGGTTGAGTCATGTGTGGGAGATGTGGGACGGTGGGAGAACGCATCACATAGCTCAGTCAGACACCAAAACGAAAACATGGCCTTGCTTTTCCAGATCTCAATGTATTGGCTCGGGCTCAGATGGACACATTCCAGTTTGAACGACCCTAGCATCTGTGCGTCAGCCCGGCTTAGTTTGTAGTGGAGTTCTGTAGCGTAGAGGTTAGAGCGCTCGCCTCACAAACAAGTGAGAGGACCCGGGTTCGATTCGATTCCCGGGCTGGTCAGGCCGAAACCTCAGGCAAGTTTCCTTACTCCACGCACATACACAGCTCTGTTTACCTAACAGCAAATAGGAACCCGGTTGTTAGTCGATTGATGGATGGCGTTTGCCGGGATGGGTAATAATCCCTCCCCCCAAAATAATAATAATAACTTGGTCACTCACGCCACCAGCCTTTGTGGGACACCGCCGTGCACAATTGGCTGCTGCGTTTTGCCTGCAAAATACAGTCAATCTACTTTAGGTTTGCGATGTCTCAACGACATAATAAGGCGCTATCTCAAATGCAACAATTATTATTATAACAATGTTTTTCACATAGAGTAAGTAAGTCTCAAAGCACTTTACAGAGTGCAATGTGTGAAGGGGTAAGTGGCTTGAGGCATGGTCAAGGAGTTGGGAGAGATATTCATGTGGGACGATTTACATTTGTAGTTTTTTTTCACAAAGTTAAAAGAATCAGAAGTTGGCAATAAGTTTGCAACAATTGCATTTCAGAGAGTTTGGTGCAGACGGACAGGAACACAAATAAACACAGCGGCTCTGGGGGCAACTGGCTATAGGAAGAACAAACAGAGGGAAATGTAGTCAGGGCTAATTGTGGGACGTACGGTGGTCACGTTGAGATGATTTGGTACTTTCATCTCAGCGGTAATTAGGCACTGCATTTCCGTACGTTTGCAAGTGAATGAGCATGCGAAAGGGATATTCTGTACTGAGCAGTGCTCAGCGTATCTGTTCCCAGCAGAGCCGATGCCCTGAGAAGCTTTACCAATAATATTAATCTCAACATCGCAAGACCCTCCTCTTCGACCGTGCTTTCGATCACCCTGCCCTCCACCCTCCCCGATCCCCACCCCCAGCTCAGGTTTGAAATTCTGTCTATCCAGCACCTTGGACGTCCTCCCGACGTGAAAGGCACTAAACAAATGTAATTTTGTTGTAGTTGTTGTTGTTAATCCTTCTATTTGATAAAGCATCTTAACTGTGTAGTAACTGTGTATTCTGCGGGTGACTACACGCCCGTGTTCAGAGATGACAACAGCTTGGAATCAGAGAGTAGAACGAGCGTCTTACCCATGGCCTGGTCTGGAGTTCAGGTCAGAGCCTCGGTCTCGCTGGGCTCCTGAGGTCTCTCTGAATGGCTCTGCCTGCCGCAGTCTCAGTCTGTTGTCGTATTGCCGCCGGCTGTCGCTCTTGCTGAGCACGCTGTACGCCTCGTTCAGTCTCACAAACTTCTTGTGAAGGTCTGGGTTGGAGGGATCGATGTCTGGATGGAGCTGGACAAATTAAAGCCATGTTATAACAATAATAATAATCCTGGCATTTGACCCAGCGCCTTATCACGTCTTCGAGACGTCGCATAGCTCTTCAGGGGGATAAACTGTAAAGTGAAGTGACTGTATATTTTGCAGGTGAAACGCGGTAGTGTCCCACAAACGGTCGTGGATTGAGTGAACAAATTTTTATTATTGATAATTAATAACTATTAATAATAATAGCATTGATTATCCTCCTTGTGGGGGAGTTAAGTGGGGTCTCCTTGGCGCTGAACTGGCCCCAAGGTGACATGCTTGGCAATGGATTAAGCCAGCCCTCTTTGATGGTCTCTAACCTGGTTCCTGAGCCAAGGAATGGGGTTAGAGTAGAAAGCTCCGGTGGGGGAGCGAGCACCAGCACGGATACGATGGGGGGGGGGGGGGAGTAGAATGACATTTACATAGTTAAGCATTCTGAGCACTATCCCACATGAAGGGCACTGTATAAATGCTGTTGTTGTAAAGATAAATTGAGTTAGAGGCAAAGTGTGACTGATGTTAAAGGCGGCCAAGTGAGTGATATCCAGGCAGTTATGTGGAGACACTAAACTCCACATCTACATTTCTGTTTCAAATAAAAGCCAAATGGTGGCCGCCAATTCCTTTGAGGGAGCGAGACAACCTGTGGCACTTTATCGATTGGCGGAGAGAGAATACTGCTCCCTAGGGAGTGATTACAGCAGTAATCTGAGTTGTCTCGAATTATCATCACAGACCAGGAAAGCTCTTGCTCCCAATGAATCTCTGCCATAAAGTGCACAGCTAAATCCGGAACACAGCTCTCTAGGGAGGTCATTCCAGCCCTGTCTACCTGTCTGGCTCATCGGCAGGACCTGGAAGGGCAGGCTAGGGGGCAGGGAATCCTCCCACTCAGCTCCTGTTAACCCTGTAATGAGACTCCCATCACACCAGTTCTAGCCAAGTTCCACTGGCTCTACATCACCCAACGGTTCGATTTCAAGATTCTCTGACTCGATTTCAAATCCCTTCACGCCCCGGCACCTCCCTACCTGCTTACCCCGCAATCAACTACCTCCGCTCAACTGGCTCCGGGCCTCCTGCTTGTCCCTCATGCTCTCTGCTCCACTGTTGGTGGCTGCGCTTTCAGCTACTACCCCCCAAACTCTGGAACACTCTCTCCCCTATCAGTCTGCCTTGCCCCTTCCTTCCCTATTTTTAGTTCGTGCCTGAAGACCTCCCTATTCGACCTGTGCCTATGGTTACCTCCCCCTCCACTGGCTCGACGTCGTGCTCCACCACTGTCAAACGCTCTGGGAAGCTGCCCTGCGTGAAGAGCGCTGTGTAAATGCAAGTTGTTGTTGTTGTAAGCCAAAGCCAGACAAGCAGCAGGAAATCATGTCAGGCAGTGATATCAATGGCAAGTCGCTTAAGCCATGGTGAAGGGTTTCTGCATGTGTCAGACAACCGGCTGACCCACCCACCCAAAAAAACAACTATTGCATACAATGAACCCCTGCTATAAAGCACCCAGCTAAAGCCAGAACATTGGTCTCTAGGGAGCTGCTTCCTGCCCTGGCTGCCATGTGGAGAGAACACAACACAACACACACAAGTCTCTGTTTCAGCCACGCTGCCCTGCCCATTACTAAGAGCATGAGGGAGAAAGTGTATGTTCTGTGAAGCTGGGGAGTCCTGTAGCTCAGTGGTTACAGCACTCGCCTCGCAAGCTAGAGGATCTACGTTCAATTCCTGGGCAGGACAGGGCAAAACCTTAGGCAAGTTTCCTTATTCCACACACACACAGAGTCACACACAGTCACGTATGCACACGCCTCTGTTTACCAGCAGTAGGTAGGAACCCGCTTGTTAGTCGATTGGAGGATCACCTTGCGGGGGTAATAACCCCTTCCAAAATAATAACTAAATAGATAATTTCGTCACCCAATCCACGACTGTTTGTGGGATGGATGCTGCTGTGCGCAATTGGCTGCTGCGTTTTGCCCACAAAATACACAGTCACTACACTTTACAGTATATCCTGTGAAGCACTTTGAGACGTCCCAACACTGTGATAAGGCCTTATATCAATGCAAGGATTACTCTTATGATTACACTAATCTCACTGATAAAAGAAAAGAATTGGCTGGGAAAGAAAGGGAGAAGGATTGATTGGGTGTTGGAAACACAATCTTCTGACCTCACTCCTCCACACTCACAAACAAGGACCATGGCTGCCGATACTGACATGAGTGCTGGAGTAATTGCTGGTGGGAGGTGTGGTATTTGAGGTAGGAATGTAATGGCTTTGTATACGCCTGTTAGGGAGACAATGTTAAGGGTTCAGACAGTAGTGTTAATCTCTCTTCTTATTTCTCCACCTTGTTACCAAAACTCACACATCATGGAGTCTTCAGTGGTTAAGAGTGCTCGCCTCGCAAGCGAGTGGACCTGGGTTCAATTCCCGGGCAGGTCAGGGCGAGACGTTAGGCAAGTTTCCTTACTCCACACACACAGTCTCACACACACACACCTCTGTTTACCAGCAGTATGTAGGAACCAGCTTGTTAGTTGGAGTCCTTGGAGTAGCTTGGAGTCCTGTAGCTCAGTGGTTAGAGCACTCGCTTTGCGAGCGAGAGACCTGAGTTCAATTCCAGGCAGAGGGCGAAACCTCGGGCAAGTTTCCTTACTCCACACAGAGCCTAATAATATTCCCTCCAAAACCAAAAACAATAATAAATTGGTCATTTTCAATCTACGACTGTTTGTGGGACATTGCTGTGCGCAATTGGCTGCCGCGTTCACCCACAAATATACAGTCTATTCACTTTACAGTCTATTCTGTGAAGCGCTTTGGGACGTCCTCCCGACGTGAAAAACGCTATATCAAATGCAAGGATTATTATTATTATTATTATTAGTTGATCGGCTGATTGCTTTTCTGTGACGAGTCCGCTAACCACTACGCTACAGGACTCCGATCATCATTACCTTATCATCTAACTTGCCATTGAATATGCAGGCATTTGACCATTTTGTGTGTGTGTGTATGTGCACGTGGATGGCTCAGCTGGGGACTCGCTAAGCCTTCGTTGGCGGGTGGGAAAAGGGGGGGGGCCGGGGGAAGTTCTGTTTCTGTTTTTCTTCAAAGAAGAAAAAAGTGCTTTTTAAAAATAAAACTCTCCTGAGGATTCAGCAGATGTGTGGCAGGGACTGTGTGTTGCCTTTGCTCCAGACTGAGGTAATTCTGCGCTTGATCCACTATACGGTCCAGCACACAGTGACCAGCTACAGGATGCAAGAAAAGCCCTCCCACCTGAACGCCCACCCCGCCCCCCACCCCAAAAAAAACTACCGAGCAAAAAATAAAAAGCAGACACCAATAAATTATAGCAATGTGTTCTGTTTCAACCCTGAGAAAGTCAAAAACGGTTGTGGGAAACTTCTTATCAGCCATTTACTGTACCAAGCTCTGGGTATGAATGGCAGAGTAACCTTGGATGCCAGTTTAAGGTCTGGTCTGGCAAAGCAGTTCAGTGGGAATCACCAAGGAGAGACCAGCAGCTTATAACCAGCTTCGTATATGATAAATATAATAATAATCCTTGCATTTGATGCAGCGCCTTATCACGTCGTTGAGAGTCTCAAAGTGCTTCACAGGATATACTGTAAAGTGAATTGACTGCATATATACTGTAAAGTAGAGTGGCTGTGTATTTTGTGGGTGAAATACAGCAGGCAATTGCACACAGCAGTGTCGCAAAGTGAACTGAGTGATCAAATTATTTTTTTTTGGAATTACAACATAAGCCGAGAGCCCAGAGTGAGCTACGTACGTCCGGAGTGAGGCAAGGCCAGAGTTTGAGGGAATTTGGTGTGAGTGGGAATTAGGTGCAGAGGGGGAAGTGGGGGCAGGCTATATATCTTTGTATCTATATAAAGATTGTGAAGATGGTGTGGCAGGTAAACTGCAAGGTCTGTCACATGTGGGAGTTGATGGAGGGCGCCTTAAGCCCGGGCGACTTCATCTGCCGCAAGTGTCTGGAAATCAGGGAGCTTCAGCTGAGAGTAGCTGAGCTGGAAGCCCAGGTGCAAACACTGCGCTCCATCAGGGACAGCGAGAGGTTCCTGGACAGTATGGTGGAGGAGACCCTCACTCCCCTAGGACTCAGTGATAGCAGCCCATCACTGTATAGGAACCATGAGAGAGGGGTCCTGGAGCCATCGGGAGGTCAGAGTTCAGGAACAGGACCACTCCCAGAGGTGCCCAACAGACAGCTAAAAGTGATTGGGTAACAGTGCGACAGGGAAAGAAGAGGGCTTGTGCAAGGCAGAGCACCCCCAACAGAGTACCGGTCTCAAATCAATTGAGAGCGTGGAAACCTCCCGTGAGGACAGCAGTGAACATTCTGTCCAATAGGACAGGGCCATGGATCACACGGGCAACACTGTTCTGATAGGGGATTCAACAGTGCGAGGCACGGATAGGATCTTCTGTCATAAGAATCGTGAGGCTCGGATGGTTTGCTGCCTTCCTGGTGCGAGGGTAGTGGACTTTACCCAGCGTGTGGACAAGTTTCTTCAGGGGGAAGGAGAATGTCCAGAAGTCGTGGTCCATGTGGGGACCCACGATATTCGGAAGAAGAGGGTTGAGATATTCCAGGGCGAGTATCAAAAGTTGGGGAACAAACTCAAGGCTAGAACATCCAAGGTGGTGATCTCTGGGTTACTCCCGGTGCCTCAGGCAACGGGGCACCATAATGAAAGGATCAGGCGTATGAACGACTGGCTGGAAAAATGGTCCAGAAAAGAAGGTTTCCGTTTTATGGACAATTGGGACCACTACTGGGGGAGGTGGGATCATTACCTTGCGGATGGGTGGCACTTAAGCAAGGCAGGGGTTAGCTTCCTGGCCAAGAGATTATCGAATGCTGGGGGTGCTAATTTAAACTAGTGGCGAGGGGGGAATGGGTATCCCAGGATAAACAATAGATTAGGGAATA